CCTGTGATTGGGTTTCCGCCATACAGTCTTCCCGGGATAGAATTTCCAATAGAGAAATGCATGATGTCGACTTCATATCCACGGCACGTCTTGTTGTTGCATGAACCACGTAATTCTTTACACCCACCCATCTTGTTAAACAAAGCCAAACCCATTTTAACTCAAAAGATACCCAAAAAAAGAAAGAAGAAAAAAAGGAAAGGAAAGCAGGAGATTGAACTAAATGAAGTCACAATCTAACAAAAATTTCAGTTTCCTTAAACAACTTACATCATGATATGAAGCACTCTCACCAACTTGGAACATCAGGGCTACTGATGGGCATTTATAGTTATCTCTGCATGATTAAAGAGCAGAGTTATTTGAATTAATTGTTTATGCAAGTAAGCTTGCCTTAATTTATAAGGCTACACTGAGAATGAAACTATGAGCAAATATTTACTCAGGAATTAATCAAACCAATATATATTATTGACCATTGAGGTAGTTATCTCACAGTGGTTAACACTAAGTTTGTTTGGTTTTTTATCTGAGCTAAAGATGAGTAGTTTTCAATTGTAAAGTTAGTTATTCTATTGGCAATCGGGTATGCTGAAGTACCCGGATGACATGCTCCCTGATATGGTATTTAGAAACAAATTTAAAATTGTAAAGCGAAAATTTCTCTACGGTGTGCTCTTACCACAGATAGAATATATAATTTACTAATTGAGTGTATGGTGATGAAAAATGGTATAATACCAGGAAACAAAATCAAATAAATTAATACAATGTCCAGAACAATATTATTTCAAAGGTTTATAATTTTTAAAAATTGAACAAAAGTTTCTTTTATCCCGCACCGTTGGCACATTCTAAGAAGCAGGTAATGTAAGGTTCCCTATTCTCACTCTTTGATATCAAAGTTTTGGCAAAGCATTTATCAAGACTGTCGTAATATTCTAAATATATTCATATGATTATCAGTAATATGACTGGAAATACAACTACAGAGATAGAAAAATGCCAGTAGAGTAAACTTTCAAAGCTTGTCTTGAGATAGCTCTATTTACAATAAAAAATAATTTCCTAAATATATTCATACAATCATAGGTCTACTGGGATTCGCATTGAAGAGTATAATATCAAATTAAAGCTCCAAAAAGAGAGAGAGAACAAGGAACACTTCCAAAAGGAACAAAAAATGAAGAAGGAATGGCAGGATCGATTTCCCATAGTTAGAAGTTGAAATGTGATAGGGAAAAAACTCACCCTTTTGAATACACATAATCTCCATCTACTTGCAACATGAAGTAAACATCCTTTCCATCATGCAGAGCCTATAATGCATTATCAAGAAACTTATTAACACAACATACAAAACTCACACATTTACTTATTTCATGTATCAATTTCAAATTCAATTTCCTCTAAAACATTTCCTGTTTCAATTGAAATTTTTCCAGGGCGTTATGTGGTAATGGATTTTTCTAACAAAAAAAAAACTTAGGAAAGGATCATACAGTACAAGTTCTCAAATTTGGTTCCAATTAAATAACATATATATCCATCTATTAGCTCCCTCAAAGATTAGTGTGAACCATTCATCTAAAAGATATAATGAATTCATTTTCCTATGCAATTTTTCTTAAATGGCACTTGAATCTAGGTTTTTCATTCTCCATATCATCTATTCAATTATATTGTTTGAATCCTTTTTTCAACAATTAGCAATGATACCTTAACGGTCATTTTTCCAGCTTTGTACTCCTTATCTTCATCCGGATCGAGAGCTGGGCGGAGTGGAAAATCGAAACCATCTACATCAGCCCAATCATCAGCATGTCCATCAAGAGTGACAAATCCAGGCTTAAACTCGGCCACAATTCGTGCCTCGTCATCGTGCTCGCAGTGCCAGTCACCGGATTCTTGGTGAGAGGCCACGAATCGCAGTTGCCTTGAACCCGAGAGGGCGGCACATACGAGGAAGAGTTGAAGATGAAATAGAAGCGACATAGTAGGCGGAAACGGCAACGTTTTGAAGGAGTAAACCAGGTAGAAAAACCACAGAAACTTGGTATTTGGAGATTCGAAGGAAAATTTGAGCCGCCCAAGGGGAACGACGACAGTTGACTTAGACATTGGCAGTTATTATTCAGCTAATCTTGCCCAAAATGTGTTGTGCCACGTCATTAAAAGTGTTAAAATAAAAATTAAAAAAAAACACGTTTTTAACGGTTGTGCTACGTGTACAGGGGATCTGTATAGATAGTCTTATAGGTGTACGCATGGTGTGTATCTATAAGTGGATTTGAAAAATTAACTTTCCAATGGAGAACTAGTGGAGGATCAAGAAGATCAAGAAGTCAAGTCAAGACGTTTTAAATATGATCAAGAGGTTAAAAAAAAAATAAATAAATAAAATTGAAGTGTTTGATATCAATTGGATGGCTCTCTAGGCAAGTTCGAGTCTATGATAACATTAATTTGCTAAATCATGCTACAATGACATAATCATTGACATAATAGTTGACATAATATCATATGACACTTTTTTATTGGACTGTTCTAAAAACAGTAAGTTTTTTCATCCAATCACATCTTGCCAACTAACATTTTGTCACTTCATCTGTCAAACATTTTCTGGCAAAGTGGCATATCCCTAATTTGATTGCTGTGGTTTTTTCAATACTATGATTTTTTTTTTTCCTTGGTCGGTACTTATGCTTTGATTCAGTTAATGGTTTTCTTTTCTTTAACTTTTGAAATTATTCTTCTTCATTCTTGATATTGGATAAAAATGTTGATCTTCAAATGTCAATCTCAATTTGAGTTTGATTAAGTTGTAAGTTATAACAATACCTTTGTCTTCTATTTAAGAATTCGAGGATTTCTAAGAGTTTTTATTCTATTTAAGGATTGTAGGATCTTTAAGAGTTTTTAGTCTTTTAGATATCTTCGTTAGTACTTAGAGCATGTTTGGTATAGATTCTCATTTTCTACAGTAAATCAATTCTCATTTTCAACCATACATTCTTAAATAAAATAATATTTTCCATTACATCAATAATTTTTTCTTCTTTTTCAACCACACATTTCCCATCATATCACTATTCAAAAATCAATTTTTCCTCCAAAAATCCCTACCAAACACACTCTTAGTTTTGTGGTGTCATCCAAACCTTGCGGCCAACACTTCCACAAGACTCTTTGACTGAAGGGGGTTTTCTCAAAGACCTTTTAACTTTTAACGTGTGCGATTTGAGGGCCTCGATTACTTGTGTAATGTACGTTCTGGCTATAATATTGTTCTTGCTTTTTAGCTCAACTTGTTTGTGTGAAATTTTTGCTGCTGATTTTTAATAGCGCATTACAGTTCTTGGGTAGCTTGAAATTTGAATAGATTTGGTAATGGAAGTTTAAACTATTGTATCAATTATTCATGTATATACATTGCTCCCTCCTGTCTAATATTGAAGAAAATAGAATAAGATCGTTTCAAATTTATTTGAGGTGAATATTTTATCTTGGGATTTTCAATCTTTCGTCTCCATTTTTCCCAGAGTACTTTTTTTTTTTATAAAATAAAAATTAAAAAAAAAACACGTTTTTAACGGTTGTGCTACGTGTACAGAGGATCTGTATAGATAGTCTTATAGGTGTACGCATGGTGTGTATCTATAAGTGGATTTGAAAAATAAACTTTCCAAATGGAGAACTAGTGGAGGATCAAGAAGCTCAAGAAGTCAAGTCAAGACGTTTTAAATATGATCAAGAGGTTAAAAAATAAATAAATAAAATTGAAGTGTTTGATATCAATTGGATGGCTCTCTAGGCAAGTTCGAGTCTATGATAGCATTAATTTGCTAAATCATGCTACAATGACATAATCATTGACATAATAGTTGACATAATATCATATAACACTTTTTTATTGGACTGTTCTAAATACAGTAAGTTTTTTCATCCAATCACATCTTGCCAACTAACATTTTGTCACTTCATCTATCAAACATTTTCTGGCATAAGTGGCATATCCCTAATTTGATTGCTGTGGTTTTTTCAATACTATGATGTTTTTTTCCTTGGTCAGTACTTATGCTTTGATTCAGTTAATGGTTTTCTTTTCTTTAACTTTTGAAATTATTCTTCTTCATTCTTGATATTGGATAAAAATGTTGATCTTCAAATGTCAATCTCGATTTGAGTTTGATTAAGTTGTAAGTTATAACAATACCTTTGTCTTCTATTTAAGAATTCGAGGATCTCTAAGAGTTTTTATTCTATTTAAGGATTGTAGGATCTTTAAGAGTTTTTAGTCTTTTAGATATCTTCGTTAGTACTTAGTTTTGTGGTGTCATCCAAACCTTGCGGCCAACACTTCCACACTACTCTTTGACTGAAGGGGGTTTTCTCAAAGACCTTTTAACTTTTAACGTGTGCGATTTGAGGGCCTCAATTACTTGTGTAATGTACGTTCTGGCTATAATATTGTTCTTGCTTTTTAGCTCAACTTGTTTGTGTGAAATTTTTGCTGCTGAATTTTAATAGCGCATTACAGTTCTTGGGTAGCTTGAAATTTGAATAGATTTGGTAATGGAAGTTTAAACTATTGTATCAAATATTCATGTATATACATTGCTCTCTCCTGTCTAATATTGAAGAAAATAGAATAAGATCGTTTCAAATTTATTTGAGGTGAATATTTTATCTTGGGATTTTCAATCTTTCGTCTCCATTTTTCCCAGAGTACTTTTTTTTTTTTTTTGCCTGATTAATGGCTTCGTCGTCAAGGAAAATGAATGTGTACAATGTACTAACTAAGTTTAGGGTCTCATTGGGACCCTTTTTATATCAGGTTAATTACATGTACTTCTGCAATTGGGTGAATGGAGATTTATTTCAGTTCCAATAACTATGTCATTCCATCATGGATGAACTTTCTATAATCTGCAGGTCTAAGAGTGGATGAATAACATAGGGGAGAGAGAGAGATTGAGTGCTGGATTCACTAAAATTCGATGGAGAAGATCTTTCAAGCATCGGAGACATTATTGAAGCTGCTAAACTGGAATTGGCTAACCATCAGGATGACCACCAGTTACACTGGTATTCAGCTCGATCTGATTGCTAAACGGCTTGCAATTTCAAGAGCTGAAGAATGCTTCCTGAAGTTGCCAGATTTCTTGAAGGACAATAGAATTTTTGGTGCTCTCTTGAATCGTATGCTGGTGCCAGAATGAGGGAAAAATCTGAATCGTTGACTGATAAAATGAGGGAGATCATGCTTGTGATGCAATTCCATTTAATGTCATGATGACACTCTGTATGGACCTTAAAGATTACAACAAGGTTGAGTTAATGATCTCGGAAATGATAGAGAAAAACGCATCTTTAGATATATATTCCTATAATATTTGGCTGTCGGCCTGTGGATCACAAGAATCTCTGGAAAAAATTGAACACCACCATCAGTCCCAACTAAACTACATTCAGCACAATGGCTACTATGTACATCAAGTGTGGGCAGCTAGAAAAGGCTGAAGACTGTATAAAGAACGTTGAGAGTAGAATTGTGGGTCGGGATCAATTTCCTTATCGTTATCTCATTAGTCTCTAAGGTAGGTTGGTAGCAAATGGAGGTCGATAGTGCTTGGAACATTTACCAGGCTACCTTTCCGACTTCCTAATTTGGGCTACCATGCTGTAATTTCTTCTCTGGTTAGATTGGATGATACTGAAGGAGCTGACATGATCTATGATGAATGGTTTTCAGTGAAATCATTTTGCAACTCTAGAAGAGGAAATCTTCTACCGGGTTACTATGTTATAAAAGGCTTTCTGAAAATACCAAGACTTTCTTTAATCATATGATTGAAGCAGGAGGAAAATCAAATTCAACGACATGGGAAATGCTTGCAGAAGACCACATAATAGAGAGGAGGATTTCGAAGTATTGAAAGAAACGAGAGAAGAAGAAAAATGGAGGGAAAATGTTCGGAATTTTCTATTGATCAAAAATCATTTTACAATACAATCCATTGTGCTATAAATAGAGGAAAAGATTCCAACTGGCTAACTAACTGAAATTGTACAAACCAATACAGTATAGACACATGGATTAACTAACAAAACTAACAAAACTGCTCCAGCTAATTCCAACTTTGCTCCAGCTCCAATTAACTCCATCTAGCTCCAACTCACGCATTCTGTTACTCCCCCTCAAGATGGACAATGGAGGTTGATAACGGCCATCTTGGATAACAATGGAGACAAAAGAGAAGCTAGCAAAACTTTTGTAAAAACATCAGCTAACTGATGTTGTGACCGAATAGGTAGCAACTTAAGAAACCCATCAGTTAGCTTTTCTTGAACGAAATGACAATCGATCTCTATATGTTTGGTACGTTCGTGGAAGATAAGATTAGAAGCTATATGAATAGCCACCTGATTGTCACAGAAAATCAGTGCAAGATCAGATTTTGAAACCTGAAAATCACGAAGTAATTGATTAAGCCAAATCAGTTCACTTGTTGTAGATGCCAATGCACGATACTCCGCCTCTGCTGATGACCTTGATATAGCATTTTATTTCTTGACTTTCCATGAAATTAACGAATCCCCAAGTAACACACAAAAACCTATAACTAATTTTCTGTAATCAAGACAAGATCCCCAATCCGCATCCGCGAAAGCCTTTAACTGAAAGGAACATTGCACAGGGAATAAAAGTCCTTGGCCTGCGGTGGGTTTGATATACCTCAAAAGATGATGTGTTTCATCCAAATGTGGTTGCCTAGGCTGAGATACAAACTGACTCAGCTTATGAATTGTAAAGGTGAAAAACGCGGTTCGCTAACTAAGTTACCGAATAGTTATTAATTATCCGTTTTTAATTTTGACCCTACGTGCGGAATTAATCAATCAAAAGCAACAAGTCATTTTAATTGTTTCTAGATGATTAAACAAACAGTCCAATTATCCTAAGTTGAATTGCTACAGTTTGTAATATGGAAAGCAATAAATAACACTAATATGATGATGGAGAAACCCTAACTGAGTAAAAACTCCGGGACCAAGCCAGTTATCTCCACTATAGACAATATGGGTTACAATTCAATTTCAAACTAGTTCCACTAGCTGTTGTAAACCCTGCAACTCCAAGATCTGCTGCTTATTCCAGCCTTGCAATCTGTTGCCGTAGATACTATCTAGCCAACCTGCTAGATCTCCCGATCTACCTCCTATAGCTTCCAAGTTCTGCTGTACTTACAGACTCACAATCTTCTACCAAGATATATTGTAGTAGTCTCACGTTCTTCTGAACACGTCTCTTTCAAGTGAATACCCAGGAATCACCTATTTTTGTTCTTCTTCCTACGCTTGTAGTCCAACCTCTCTCAACCTCTAGAAACTTCTGAAGTCCAACTGAGAAAGTACCTTCTTATGACCAATAAGAAGTATGTGGTGTTTCGATTTAAGGAATTGATGTTTTTCCTAAATCGGGTTGCTGGATCTCAAGAATGAATATAGATGAATCAGTGAATTGTCTCTTGGATCTCTCAAACAATGATATGAAAGTGTTATATCTATGAAGCACAATGTGCAACCACCAATTTTCGTGCAAGACCCATTGTATTTATAGTTAGAGATGTATGAATAGTATGAGCCGTGTAAAACTATCCAAAATGGCGAATTAGGTTTGGCTGCACAGGTAGGTCACTCGAGTAAGCTGTCGGCGAAGCTCTCACCCAAGAGAAAATGTTACTAATTAGTCGCTCGAGCAAGCCTCTAGAGAAGGTCGAGCGAGGGTTGAGCAATCATCAGTATTTTTATCATAACTTTCTCTACCGATATCTAATTGTGATGATTAAAATTTCGTTAGATAGCTAACTCGAAGGGATACAATTCTTATGGAAATAGCCATATCCAAATTCTAATGTTTTCTATGTGAAAAATGTGTTGAAAGTGACGACTAAGAATTTTGAACATAACTTGTGCAGCTCTTTGATACTCTTTAGACTTCCTACAATTTATCTCTTTATCAATAAGTTTTTCTTTTCCCTAATTTATTTTCCATATTTAGACTTCTAATTGCATTCTCTTTATCATATACGATCTTCTTGGACATCTTGGAATCCTTCAAGGACTCAAACCCGAACTTACCTAATTTATACAAATTGCACTCTAGGTCCTTCACTTTTATATCACGTTACAAATTAGTCATTTGTCTACAAAATTGCCAACACTAAAAACCTAACAAAAGGTAATGTCAGGCCTTGAAATAGTCAAGTACAATAAGCGACCAACAAGACACCTGTACATTGATGTATTAGCAAGAGGTTCTCCTTCAAAAGAACTCAAACGAACATCAGGATCCATAGGTAATGCAGCAGGCTTACAACCCAGAAAACTTGTGTCTTCAAGTAGTTGAAGAGCATAATGGCGTTGGGATAGGAAAATGCCTTTACGTGACCTAGCAATTTCCAATCTTAAGAAGTATTTTAACTACATAAACAAGTACCATGAAGAAGAAAAGCATTTGAGAATTTTGAGAACCATTGCCTTGAGGTTTGTTTCAAGACAAAAATTGATTTGTGCAGCCTGCACAACAATTTTCCCCCTGTTGACCAGCTCCAGAATGTTTGTTATAGCCTAATAGGATGTCCATATAAATCTTCTCAAATAAATCACCATTGAGAAATGTATTATTGACATCCAACTATGTGATATGGCAATTATTTGTTGAAGCAATGGCTAATAAAACTTTAAAAGTTACAAGTTTAGCCACCTCGCTCTTGATCAATCTGATTAGGAAAAATAATTCGCTAAACTGAAGGGCAAAAGAGAGAGTGAAATCGCTAGAGCAATCACTGAAAGAGAGTCCAGGTTCGAACACAGTTTATGAACTTAAAAGGTGACAGAAAAAAAGAAAAGAAGTGGAAAAACTAATCAATTGTTTCAACTTTGAAGAAATACAAATAAAAGTTACCAGATCTCGAAAGCATGTTAGACCAATTTCTTTAAGAGCAGGAAGTGACCTCCTAGCAATAAAATACCTATCAAGTTAATGAGCCAAAAAAGATTTACAGAATCGATAAAGGTCAATAATAAAAAAACTAACTGTAAAAAGATGGAGCAAAATGAGCCAAAATAAGAGGAAAAATTTGACCAGGTCTCCTAGGGGAATTCCATACATTGCTTGGTCAACATCGCCCTTGAAATAAAATAGAGTAAATTCCTATGTAATGTTCATTGAACTGGGTTTCACAGTGATGCTACTGGACTTTTCACTGAAAAATAGTGGGGAAGTTTTATCTTTTATTTAAATTTTCAAAACAAACCAAAGCGTGTATATATATTGGTTTATGGGGGAATGGGAAGGGGAAGGAGAAGGGTCATTGCTCTTGAGACAAGGAATCGTTTAATATGAGAGCAGAAGAAGATTGGAGGGTTGCAAGCAATTATACATCATTTAACTAAAGCTTTTACACTTAATTCTCAAATCTCACATTACAAATTGGAGAGGACCTTTTTAGAATGAGCTTTGCTATAGGTATATTATAATGTACATAAGGGTGTACAACCCCTCACATGGGGGTGTGACCCACTTAAATAAAAAAATATTTTATACAGTGTGTCTCACTCCCATGTGAGACGGGTGTAGCCCTTTATGTACATCTTTTGATGTACAAGTGGAATTGCTTTTTAGAATTATTATATGATAGATGACACATGCACAACATAGTAATCTTTTCACAATGATTATCAATAATTCTTTCTGAGTGGGACAATGAGTATAAATCAAATGCTCACCGTTTAGTAGAGTGATGAGTAATCAACTTCCAAGAATGGGGGACGAAATAAGATGATCTAATAAATTCTAAGATAACCACATAAGATCAAACACTTTCCCACCCAATATTATCTACCACAGTTGGACTTTTTTAGTCAAATTGACCTTGTAGAAGCAATATCTGTAATTGTTCCTTACAAGTTGCAACACCGACAACAATGGGACAAAAATATAAATTATAGCAAGCACTGTCACCATTGAAGACCCAAAGCTTCATGTACTATGAAGATACTAAAAAAAAAGAGGAAAAAAATTGAACATACAGGTTCATAAATACCACTCTGTCTAAGAAATAAACAGACAGAGTCGGCCTTACTGGTGATATAATGTACTCTTCAAATAACTAGCAATACTTGTCATACAATTGCTAAGAGTAATCATGGGCTTGTACTCAAAATTTAAGGAAAATAAGAACAAACAATAAGGTCATGAGTGTCTACAAATCAAAATGCTAAACTGAAGACTTGGAATATAAAAGAAATACGTGTAGAGCATCATATAATCTTCTGAGCTAAACTGCGGCTCAGGTAGCCCTTCTAAAACGCTTTTCAGCTTTGTAATCCCTTTTTGCATAAAGTCCCATCCCTGTTCTAAATCGATTGTATTCCGCTGATTCATCGTCATTTTCTATATCAGCTCAAGTTGAATTGGCAAACAAAGACTAATCCCTTCTAGTAGAAACTATAGCCTTCCAATAACACATAAATTGGTAAATTAATCAATAGAAAACATCTAAACGCTGTAAATGACTACAGCCAAACAAAAATCAACTGAGAAATAACACCACCCTAAAATGAAACCGAAGAACCAAGAGCATCATTCATGCCTAGTAGTTATTATCTAGTACTAATTGATGTCAAATTTCTATATTCCTATTATAGTCATGAGTTAGTTAGCCATGATCTTCTTCAAAATTAACAATTTTAAGTATCCCATCAAAAAAAGAAAAAAAATTACCTTCTCTTCTCTTACAAAAGATACCTTGCACCCCATTAGCTACCTATATGGCTATATCCAT